ATATGGCCTCCCTGAGGTTGCTGTCTCCTACCTACTGGCCACCCATCTACCAGTAACCGGCCATATCCATCAGTATTAATGGGTTGGAATTTTCACCAGCAGCTATAACTACTGATTTTAAATGTTTATAATGTAAACGTTTTATTGTGTTTTAAACCTTACTGTATTATTTAAGATTATGTGACCCACCCTGAGCCTGCTCACGGGATGGGCGGGATACAGATTAAATAGATGGATTTTTTCCTAATGAATCATTGACAATCTGAAAATTTTGCCTACTTTGGAGACTACTACTGTTATGGAAGCTTTGGAATATTACCTTGTACCATGTAAACATGGAACTGCCTCTGGATCAAACATTCCCTCCCAAGCACCATGAACATTACCTAATATGGCTGCCTAGAGTCTGCGGCATAACACTAGATGAAGATGGGAAGCATGAATAAAAGGAAAGAATTGAGCACTGTTGCTAGTGATCACATTTTCAGTGCCTATGGACATTTTCAATACCTATGGCTATAGTAGGATCAGATTCCACAAAATTATATCTTTTATTTTTATCCTGGCTTTCCTTCAAGCAGCTCAGGGTACATATATGGCTCTCCTTTTCCTAACAACTCTCTAAAGTAAGGCCCCGGTCACACGGGCAGGAAACTGCAGAGGAGAAGCGTGGCTGTTTGCCCTGGGGCAAACTACTGCGCAGTTACGTGATCAGACCTCCTGTGGAGGTACCGTGGAGGTTCCATGGCAAGGGAGAGGTGCCGATCACAGGACAAGCCGGCACACAACGAAGAAGCGCGCGCCGCGGCAAACTGTTTTTTATTTTTGTGTACATGACAAATGCTCATGCTCCGTTGGGTGCGCATGCGCATCCACAGAGACTTGGACAAAAAAAGAACACCTTATTTGCAAGGGGACATGGGCGGGCGCCGGATGCCACCGGAAACGCGATCAGACGCCCACCCTTGCCCCGCAGTTTCCGGAAACTAGTACCTCCAAGGTACTAGTTTTTTGCCACGCAGTTTCGGCTGGAAGCCTTGGTTGAGCCACGGGAGTGCTACGCTTCCCAGATGTGCTGGTGAGATTGCGCCCGGAAACTCCGGCTGTTTTCCGTCTCACTTGTGTGGCTTCTGTTACGTGTGACCGCAGCCTAAGTTAGGCTGAGACAGTGAGTGACTGGCCCATATCACCTAGTGGTGGGGAAGGGGGATTTGAACCTGTGTCTTCTTGTTCCTTGTCCAGTACTCTAACAAAGGTCAGCTTCTCTGTGCAGAATATTATTTTTTCCTTTATTACAAAGAATATGCAGCTGTAACAATATGTCACACATAAAGATAATTAAATGATGTGTTACTATTCTCTATTAACCTTCTATGCTTACTTACATTAAATATGGTCAGTGTTATTCTAGCTGGCATTTTTCAGCACTTACTACTACTTCTTGTTTATCCTGTAAGTACAGCATTGCTGAATGGTAGAATTCAGAATTTTAGTACCTAGTATATAGAAAGTGAGTTTTTACTATTCATGCTTACATTGCAAATTTGGCATTTGGAACTGCAGTATTCTACCTGGTTTCCTTGAATGAAATTGTAATGATGATTTGTGTAGCAGTACTATGCCTGGATTTAGCTTCTATCATGGATCACACCAGCAATCATGCCTGGATCCAGCTCAGCTGAGACTCTTCTACCCAAGAAACATTTGTATTGAATTTTAATGTCATTTGCATTGACTTTTTATTTCTGCTGCTCCTTTGGGAGCCAGTTTTGGCTGAAAAAATGATTAAAGGGAATGGCTGCAACCAGCTTCTGGATCAGCAGCCATTACTCAGTGCTTGTTGTCTCCCTGCTCAAAATTTGAATATTTTTACCCTTTCCAATACAAAAAGAAATATTTTGAAAGATGGGGCCTAAAGGTGGTAAGAAGGGGAAACAGAAAGGAGAAAGTGTTTTGCGTTTGAGTTCTTCCCAGCTGCAGATGCACCATCCACCTCATCTGTAATGCTGGGGAGGGGTGAGCTAATGGCTGAAGAGAGCCTGCTTACTACAAATTTTTTAATGCAGGCGCTACTCAAACAACATCACGAACTGAGAAACAACATTACAGAAATGCTGAAACCAGTGTTTCAACATGGATGAGTTAGAATAGCTTCATAAACAGACAAACCAAAAGGTAGAGAAAGCTCTCAAGAAAGTTACTGAGCTTGAGAGTCAAATTACCTGCGAGAACATCAGATGCTTGGGCATGGGAACGTATTTTGTCTTTGGATTATCAGTCGTGAGTTGTCTCTAAAGTTCAGGGGGTTTAAATCAAACGTTGAAGCTGGAACAGAGCTGAATATATTTATGATGAATTGGCAGATGAGGAAAGGAATTGAGTTGCACAGGGCACATGGAAGTTGGAGGAGCGTAAGGTGTAAAAGGGGAATGGCTGGCACGTGGAAAGGCAGGGCGAAATAGGCGACCAGGAAAGGGAGTGGCGCAGCTACCCTCATGACCTAGGCTAGTGGTACCTGAGTGGAAGTACCCAAATAAAAGTCAAGTTAACAAGTTGCAACTGCCTCTGTGTGAGTAATTGTGGGGAAGTATGGATAGTCGACACTGCCCTGTTTGCTGAGGCCACTCATGATGGGATTAGAGTTACCCCAAGGTGGTGTGGAAAGCAACTTTTAGGCTACATAGGGGTTCTTCAACCAAAAGATAAGTAACAGTGGATGATTTCATGAAAGACAGCATGGACACCAGTACTGGTCTTTCATTCTGTGCAAGTGTGAACAAATATTGGCCATGTTCTCATATATGGTATCACTGTGAGTGTAGGGCAGCTTCTCTGCCCTCTTGGTATAGTAGTTAAAGTGTTGGACCAGGATGTGGGAGACCCAGGTTTGAATCCCCACTCTGCCGTGAAGCTTGCTGGGTAAACTTATGTCAGTCACGCTCTCAACCTCACCAGGGTTTTTGTGAGGGTAGAATTGAGGCAGGGAGACTAATGTATGCCACCCCAAGCTCTTTGGGGGAAGGCAGGATACAAGAGTACTAAATAAATATGCCGAACATGTCAGGCCACATAAATTGATAGTATAGACTAAAATCCTACCTAACTCACAGGGATTCATTCCCAGGCAGATGTGCAGGGGTTCCTCATCAAATGAAAGTGTGTGGAAAGGGTTTCTTATAGTAGGAAACTTGAAAAACACTGCAATTAAAACTTTACAAAAGGGCAACCCAAAGAAGACTTTTGTTACAAGTTTTCACATCAAAATACTGGCAAGTAGGAATAAACTTAGCATCACATGTAAATAATTGGTAGAATCTGTCCTGTGTCCTTATGTAGCTGATAGATTTACAAGAATACAAAATTATGGCAGATGGTGTATCTGAGAACCAAACTGATGATTCCTTTTCTCTATGGAAGAGAACTGTTTAATAGCAGGTTCCACTGATACATCTATGTGTTTAAATATTAGTATATATCTATCAATTCTAGGTGCAAAACATCTCAATACTATAATAACTATATGATGCAATAAGAGAATAAAATGAAACACAAGAAATACTTACTCATATCAAAATTATCCAGTGTGTTTTATTTCAGATAACAGCCAAGAAATCTGACTTTGACTCATTATGGCTTTCTTCTAATGTAAAGGCTGCATATACCTACAGTTAAATTCCATCAACCATAGAGTATCTGCCAAATACTGCTTCAGATTAGCAGCAGAATGTTGGAACATTGTCAGGCTGATTATACAGGAGATACATTTTTAAAGTTTTGATTTAGAATATTTTATATTTTATATGAAAACATACAAATTATTCTTTTATACATATGCTACATATAAAACTTACTGTTGTAACTAGTGATGGTATCTTTGATTGGTTAATTATGCTTTGCATAATGGGAAGACGCAGTCATGGCATCAGCAGAAATAATAGCAATCTTTTTCTTGAAGGATAAAAATCTTAATTAAAATAATCAAGCAACCCCCCCCCCCACTTAAAGATACAAAGATCAGGTTTCAAAGTACATTCATAAAACAAAGAAAAATTTCTCCCTGAGATTACCAGTGTTGGTTACATTGTGGTAATCTTGGAATTAACAACAACATCAACAGAAGTATGTAAACCAGATTTATCAGCATATTACATCTTTTCTGCCAGAGTACTTGCACAACTGTAAGACAGGTGTAATAGAGTGGAAAATCAGGCTCACTCTCTATATGAAAAAGGTCATGTGGTCCCTGGGTTAATTTCATTGTGGAAAAAGAAACATTGTTTTTAATAAATTAAGTATGCTGGAGCTTTAATGAAAGATTTACATGCTTTATTATGCATAATTAGTTTAGCACTATTTTTTTAAAGCCTGAGTTTTGCCCAAAGGATGATTATGTCCTCAAAATACAGATTTCCATAAATGATATTTCATGTATACAGTAATACACAGTTTAGTACCCCAAATGTTCTAAAGAGCTTTGTCTTTATAGGTTATAAAACATTTATGACAAAAGTTGTGATGAAATTCAACATTAAAATATATAATCATAATTACTAGAGGGCAGATCTGTTGTAGACAAGAAATAAAGATGCCATTTTTGTTACTATGGTTTAAACAAAATTCACTCAGCTCTAAAGGCCACCAGCTATGCTACTATAGACTTATTTATTTTGCATTCTTCACCACTTTTAGAATGAACACAATTTTCAAAGTTTCTACAAGATAACTAAATAAAAACAGAAGGGTTTGAACATATCTTGCAACAGTCTGCTTTTTTAAAATAAAAAAAAACTGTAGACAGTTTATTTTGATATACAATAAACCATGCAATTAATTGCATTTCAGAAGGGAGATAGGAGTGGGAAAGCCTTTCCTGAAACCAAAGAAAATACATATTTATAGGAAAAGGGGGGAAGCATTAAGTTTCTTCTATGAAAATTTATTATGCAGTAATTACAAAGTTTAAAGACTCTTCCATTTTAAATAAAAATAAGTGTCATTAAGCATATTTGTTTACCATGTCAAGTGATTCCAACAAATATCACGTAAAATACAGTGCATTTTCAAATCAGAGACAAATACTTTCTCATTCACAGTGTTTGACATATTACAGGAAAGCTTGTTCACGTAAGGGTTTAGTTTAAGGTCATGCTCTTATGAACATTCCACACCACGCTGTGCCACACACATAAATAATCTCTCAGAATGTGAAGTAACGGGCAAACCATTCCTGGCGCTGGGGATCTGGTGAAGCCACTGGAGAAGCTTCAGTCTGAAGAGGGCTAAATTCATAAAGAGAAAAGACAAATTTAACCTGCAACCGAAAGTGAAAATGCAAAAGGCCTGGAAAAAGCACAGAGAAGCCAAAGCATTGCACACATTGTTCATGAATCTAGAATTGCACCTAACTATTATATGGTGTAGCTTAATGTCCTTTTTTTTCTACCTCCAATCATCCACTCCATTAGAGAGCATCAGCAGTACAGACTAAGCCATATGATAAGGTGAAAAAATAGTATTTTGAAGAAAAAAATGAATGGGGTTGCTGCTTTTGTAAAAAAAAATAGCACTGGATTTTTTGAAGATCCTCTTTTAGCATCCTTTTCTTCTGGTCAAGTTAGTTGTCAGAATTATGATTGCAAGCATCATATTCTTAAAAGACATGCTGAATAGACTGGTGAGTAATGGAGCAATGACAGTTGAAATCTTATAAAACTCAAACTGAATTATAGTTTCATGCACATGGGATGGATACATTATATCAGGGAACTCAATGCAGAGCAAGCACACTTTTAACCCACAAATGTAATTCCCAAGCAAACTTTGATGGAATTATTTTTCTATATAAACTTTAATGCTTTAGTAAAATTACATTCTTTGGTTACAAAAATTTAGAAAACAATCCCTACCAGAAATTTTGGCAATACAAGGCACGAAATAATTCGCAATGGAAACTCCAGCGTCACAATCCACGAATTCATGCACATGCATGTTAATAATGCCTGAGCATATACATGCATATCACATGCACAGGGAAAAATAAGGAACATTAAACATTTAAAGAAACTGTATTTTGCCTTTACAAATAAAACTTATTTACTTTATAACCTCATTACACCTCCCATCTCCCAACTGTATTTTACAAATAGCATCAAAGTAGAATTATGAAGTAAGGTGGACAGAGCTTTTATTCTCTCCAAAACAAAAAAAAAGTATTAATTTGTTTTCAGTTACCTAAAATTGAAAAAAAATTGAGTGTTTTAATGCTGAAGCATTAAACATCTAATGCATGCATATATCCCCATGAATTCTAAGCTTACTTTAAATAATTTATCTGAGGTAAGGAAAGGGAGTAAATGAATGCACATTCATCACACATAAAACAGTTTTGTTGGGTAAGAAACACCATCAAACAATAATAAGTTTTAATAAGGGGTTACAACATTTGCTTAAAGGAGAGCTAGTAATAACAAACATTTAAAACAATTGTTCATAAATGTAAACAATTGAAACCACATGAACCAGATAGTATAGCTCCTTACAATTTAAAAGAAGGATTCGAGTCTTAATAGGCAGGAAAAATTCACATTTCAACGGGTTTTGCAATAAAAAGGAATACTGTAAAGAGGTTTAAAATATAGTATGAAAATTAAAATCCCACAATAAAATTTATACTCCTGAGCTGTTCTTAAGACATGTGTGGTTCAGCTAAAAAGAAACTGAATTTTTTTTCCATGTTAGGGGGGACAAACTGGTGAGGCAGTGCTCACCTCAAAAACGTCTTGGGCTCTTTGGGTGGTATTGGCTGTGGAAGTGGTCTGCTGCTGTTGAACTCAATATCGTGGATGGGTGAATTAGGAATAGGGTCCAGACGGTTAGGATGTCCATTGCCCACTCCACTAGATTCCAGAGCACTTAGATTGGGGACACTCACAAACCTGTTTGCTGATTTATCATTCTTCTTCTTTTGCTGCATTAAAAATAACAAATGTAAGGAAGGGCTCATACATTAGTACAGATGAGGAAACTGCTTGTGTGTGTGTGTGTTTTCTTATATCTGGTAGTAAGGGTTAAGGTGTTTTTTTTTATTTACTTTTGCTGAAATTACAGCATTTTCTAGAGAAAGGAGAAATTTGCCTCCTTAGCTTTAAAATATAATAGCAGTTTTAAACTATTTACAGATTATTACTTCTGAAAAGCCAAGGAGCTACTTCCCCATTAACCCCATTGGCAGAATGATACCAGCCTTGGTAGCATGACAACCATACAAATGTAATGGGTCTTATGTGGAGATGGAGGGAGCAAGTTAATTCCAAGTCTAATTGCAGCTGTTGCCCCATCCCATATAATGTTGTGAGGTGATAAAATTTACTAGATTGCAACCAACTTCTGGTGAAGTAAATTTCACTCCTAAGAGAGATTTAAAAGAACAAGGAAGGACATTCCCCCAAAATAGTTAAACCTGATTTAACCCTTCATTTTCATTTAATTTATTTCTCTGATTTAAACAATTCTGCTGTAAAACCGTTTTTAATTTGTTCAGTGCAGTACAGGTTGCCACAGTGGCTTCTGAGGCAAAGCCTTAGATCACATATTTTGCCAGAGTAGCAATGAATTATTGTACTGGATCAGTGGTGCGAACCTCTTTCCTCCAGTCTCCCGTATGACATGAAGCCTTCCAACCCATGCAGTGTCCAGGCCATGTCATTCTTCCTGCTCAAAAGGGATGTGGAATTTGCATGAATTTATATAGAATGACTATTTCACAGTGGAGTTTAACTGCATGGAGAAGAGGCTTATGTCACTTCACCATCCTCATACTGTTTCAGCATCCCCCCGGACTGATTGTACAACTCTAGGTCAACTGCATCAAGTTGGGCAGAGAGCAGAACAGTGTTGGTGAAATAAGCATCATTTAGATTTGCATTGAACATTTCTACTTAGTGTTTTAAAAAAGCAGAAAATATTTTGCTACTTTCCTCAGCACAGGTGGCAGAGGTATCATCTAAATCAGAGGTGTCGAACTCATTTGTAATGAGGGCTGGATCTGACATAAATGCCACTTTGTCGGGCCGGGCCATGTGTGCCATAAATGTAATGTCAGGTAATGGAGATACAAACTTTATAAAGGACAGCGGCTGGTAAGTTCTGAGTTCATGTGTCCTCACTGTAAAATCCCATGGGCTGGGGGGGGGGGCATTGCAGAGGAAAACCTGCGTGGGCAGGCTGGAGAGCCAGTGGTGCAGTGCTGGGCAGAAGGGGAATGGGAAGACAACTAACCCCTCCACTTGTGGAACTGGGGGTAGGTGGCCAAGGTGCGAGGCTATGTACACAGCAGGACCCAGGCCAAGCAAAGCCCGATAAGCCAGAGATGCAGCAGTGACCACCTCCAGCCAAGGCCACCAGGTGATCCATGGTGGGGCGATGCTGGGGTTCAAGCCAGAGATCATCGGGAAGCTGTGCCAGTGGCAGCTGTCCCAGGCTGAAGGCCACCAAAATGTCTGATGGGGGAGCAGGCACTGCACACAAAAGGCTGTGTGTGTTGCAGAGGCCCCAGGCCAACCAGTGATCAATATAGCTAGAGATCACTGGCACTGCCCTCACATGAGGTGGCGGCCAAGTACGGCTGAAGGCCGCCGGGTGTTCCATGGGGGAGGGAGACCCGGCTGCTGAGTTGCATGCTTGGTGGCAGGATTAGGCCCCTGATGTGTAGAACTGCCAAAGAATGCCCCCCCCATGGGCCGAAGCATAGCTACCACACAGGGAAGTACAAATACGGTGATGGTTATGGCTACCAGCAGGCCCCAGCAGAGAATCGTCTTTGCCCCCGCCCCCCTGTGCAAATGTCGATCCCTCAGGCCATCCGGACAGCATTTCCAGAGCTTCAGGCCAAGCAGAGAAGTGTGCAACCTCGCCTTGGAACCCTAAGCTGGCATGAATGTGGCTACGGTAGCTCCCCAACTTACCAGTGAGGCTGCCACTGAAGCGAAGGAGTTCTGCTTGAGTGCTGCAGACAAGGTTGTTCTGCTGTACTGAAGCCACAATCGGAGTGGCTCCACCCACTGGCCCCCCTGAGCAGCTTCCTACTCCATCACACCAGTTGCTCACGTGCCGGATAAGAACCCTGGATGGGCCGGTTTCAGCCCCTGGGCCTTATGTTTGCTACCCCTGTTGCCAAACATCATCTCATTAATATTCCCAGACCAATTGTACTAGCACTTTACATCATCTGGATTGTTCTTAGACGGTTTTATAATTGTTTTAATGGTTATTTATGTGTTTTAATTTGTGTAAGCCGCCCTGAGCCTGCTTCAGTGGGGAAGGCGGGATATAAATTTGATAGATAAATAAATAAAACCTTGGTGGTCCAACAGCCATGAATTTTGAGACCATACCCTGGACTTGCATCTTCAGGCTGATTATAAGAACTGGTGGTTATCAAGGAATTTATGACCCATGGTGTATAACTGAAGGACTATAAATGGCTCAGGGGCTGTTGAGTTTGATAATCCTCATCTGGTATTTTATTGATCCTGTTTTTAAAAAACAGGATTTATCTTAAATGTTTCATTTTTCCTCTGGATTGACAAGCACAGGTTGCTCACTACCCTGTGTGGAAAAATGGAACTGAAATCTTTTATACAAGTTCTATTACCTTCTCCCAGTATTAGTTTTAGGGTACCATAATTTCAGCTTTTTGCCAGGAGGTATAAAAATCATAGCTCTTTCCACTAGATGGCATATGTGAATCTCTGCTTCAAAGTGAAGTATCCTTTCTTTCAGTGAGACTCAGAGAAAGATGAGCTGGTGGTATCACTGATGATAAGCCAAAAATACACTTTCCATATGTGGGCATGCTAGAGGTGGGGAAGAGGCACTTGGATCCTGTATTAACACCTTTGTAGTAATGGCACATTCCTTGCACAATACAGAGATCATTTAGAAATGCTCTAAGAGACCAAGCTGCAGAAAAGACTAACAAATGGAGAGATTAGAGAGGAGCTTCTCAAAAGTTTGCAGTAAATGGGCAGACTTATCTTATTTGAACTAAATCTTAACAAGCTCTGAAAAGAAGTAGGGTAGCTTAGTACTACTTGTAATTAATTTGAATAATGTGGATTACAGTCGAGTTGGATCTTGAGCAAATTTGTATATGGAATATTATCAACATCTTCATAAGCGTAATTAATATTGTAATACATACCTTCACCAGAGGATTAATAACACCAACATTAGGACTTGCATTAAATACTTTGTTGAAATTAGTCTCCCTATTGACTAGTTCCAGTTGATAGAACTTCTTGTCATCCTGGTAAAGAATAAACAATAAAACTATTTATGTATGTATTTATTTTATTCATACCCCACACTTCTCCCCAGTGGGGACCCAAGGCAGCTTACTTCATGGGCTAAAGTACTGGATTCATATTGAAGCCCCAAAACCCAAGAACATCATGACATATAAGTGTTCTATTATAAAATTGTGCAATAACTATAAACAAGACCAGTGAAAAAATAACAAAGCTATAAATCTAAGCTAAGCACATTTTCAAGCATTAGTTTATGATCCAGATGCCACCCATCAAGACTGAGTCCAGTAGGGTTTCAAAATTTGAAGTCCAAGACAAGGGACTTCCGTCAGCCTGACCCACCCATAATCAAGAAATGTCCCAATGTCAGATATAATCCAGACACAGGACAAAACTAGAATGAAAGATCTTTCCCTTATGTTCATCAACCCCTGTTGGTCTGATTCTAGATGACCAATCAAATGTCCAGCAAATAATATAACTTGACCAGTCAGGTATATGGCTAACCAGGTGACTCAATCAATCAAGTAGGGTTACCAGGTCTCCCCGGTGCGTGGAGTATCCCCCTATTTCCAGTGCTCCACCCTGGCACTGGCCAGCTGGCTGGCGGGGGAAAGTTACCGCTCCAAATGCAGCATTCCTACATCACCTGGAAGTGATATAGGCATGTTGGTAACGTCGGCCGGTGGTGCTCTGGTTTAGCTTCAAACCATAGAATTTTGCCCAAAACCAGAGCATCACCCCCAACATCATCGATGTGCTTCTTTCCTTCCCTCTCCTCTCCTGGAGCATCCCGGTAAGTCCCGTGCTGGCTTGTCATTCAGACCTGGCAACTCTAGAATCAAGTGAGTTTTCCAATTAGACCACACGCTCTGCAGCTGCATTGGGTCCAATTAAGCAAACACCTTCTCTCACCCATGGACTCAGACCCTAAGGAGAGGGAACGTATCCTAGGTTCTTGTGGGCTTGTAACTTCCAGGCCTAATGTCTGACCAACACCTGGGTTCCTCCCATCTCCCTTATCTGACTCTTTGAAGTTACATTCAGCTACAAAGTACCCAAGTACTCAGAGAGAGATGCAAGGATGGCACTTTCCCCCCCCCCCCTTCTTGAACCATTGTTTGAATTTAACATGAAACTGCCTCAAGAACCAGTTTCTTGATGGCTAAAGGTTGAGCAGTCTCCTGAGTCTGAAGAGGAGTAATCCAAGTACTAGTCAATTACTCTTTCAAGTGCTGATGACAGCAAGAGGCCATTCCTCTGCAAAAATTATAATGACAGAGGAGAATCACCTGCCTTTTAGACAGAGGGGAGGGGATCAGCCAGATTTTTAAAATTAAGATTGTAAAGTTGTGTTGTTCTTATCCAGCATTATTTATGTCCATTTTTAAGAGAATTGCCTGCCTTCTGGACAGAGGGGAATGGATTGTTGAAGGAGAATTTTTTTTTTTAGGTTGTAAATTGTGTTATTCCTATCCAGCATTATTCATGCTTGTGGGTTTAAACCCCCCCCCCCCGCAAGAGAATCACCTAGCTGTATCGAGTAGGGAGGGGATTGTTGGAAGTTTCTGCAAATATGTGTGTGTTTTTAAAACATTATTTAAAAAATACTGCATTATTTTTATGCAGCATTGCCTAAAAACCAAACAGAACTAAAATAAGGTGGATGGAGAATCCTGATGGTCACATGACAACGCAGTGGGATGGGTGGGGAGGGGGTCTTCAACATACTTCAGGTGTGAAAGGGAAAGCATGGCTAAAAATAGATTACTCTAGGCTGTGTCATGGTACCCACCAACATCTTTTCTGGTGCCCACCAAGTGTTTTTAAAAAGTGGGCAGGGCCAGCAGTGGCTGTTGCCCTGCAGGGCTTCTGGGTTGTCACTGAAGAGTTGATTGGCTGTGTAGATTATTTAAAGTGCTGCTGTGGCAGCCATTTTCTGGCTGGCTCCTTCTTCTGTGGCAGTCATTTTGCGGCAGTCATTATGTGGCTGTGCCCACCATACTATGACAGAATTCCATAGGTGCCCACAGGCTAGAAAAGGCTGAGTACCCCTGCTCTAGTAAGTCTATGTTCTATTAAAATTTTCACTTTAACATCTCGTTAACAGATCTTTTTTTTGCAGGAGATTAGCCTTTGGCATGCTCATATGTGAAAATACCATCAAACTGTCTTACAATCAGTTTCTTTATTAGCTGATCCCTCTCAGCAATCAGGTCTTTCAATTCGGCAATAAGCTGCAAGTCTTCTGGTCTGGATTCTCGGTTTTGATATTTTTCTTCCATTTCTTCTAAACTTTATAGGAGACAAAAACATCAACTATGGGTTTATAATAAACCAATTGATCTATAATTTTGTGATATTATATGATCAAATAAATTTAATGAAGGGACAAATAATGGTTGTGATGCAGCCTCCTACATACAAAAATGGCTCTCGCTTTGTTGACTATGAAAAATGTAATCTCTCATAACCAACAATAGGATTTATTAAAATACCTGCGCCTCTGAGCTGCAGGCAACATTCACTACTTCAATAAAGATAAAACAATTTGAAAGATAGTATCGGACTACTCTACGTTTTGTCTTGAGAAACGGTTTAGCACACACAGCACAACAATACATAAAAAGAGCACTCAAGAAGTCAAGAAGCATTAAAGGAGAGAAAGAAATAAGCACATAAATTTACAGGAAAACAATAGGAAGACCCCAAGAAAATAAAGATTGTGTTTGTAGAAAGGTATACAACTTCTGAATACAACTGAAGATCACTGTTTGGTGCTGAATCACATTACTGATTAGAACATGAAGTCCATAATTATAGATTGTTGTAAGTCTAAAGGCTTGCTCATGAAGTTATTCAGAAGTGGGGGAGAACAAGAATAAGGTGGGGCTTACGTGCCATGAACCTTGTCCAACCGATCATAATAAAATCATTTCTGGTAAACATTTAGACTAATTCTGTTTTCAAAAAGTCTATAAAGTAGGAGAAATGCCTTGGAAAAGTTCTAGAATTTAGGTAGCCCAAGTTTTATTCCAAAAGAGTCTTGAACTAGATGTAATTTACATATTCAAATAAGAAGTTTTCAGAAGCAGATATTTGATTTGGTCATATACCACTTCCTAGGCTTCAAGTTTGGCCGAATGACTGTTTTCCTCTGGGTAACTGGTATTATTCTGCCTATGTGAAAAGTTTAAAAGGGCCACTTAGTGCAGGTTTTCTGACAGCTCTTTTATACCAAAGAAAATATTGAATATAGTGGTGCCGAGTCAAGAAATGTTATATTCCAGCATTCAATAAACAAAACCCAATTCTTTATAAATCTAATTGATTTATTTCTCTTTTATAATGTTATTTAAATTTGCGACTGTCTGGATCGTTTTCTACATCCCTTTGCAATAGACATCCCTGTTGTAGTTACTGGGGCTGTGACTGATTCTTTTTATTTTCTCCCTATTTTTTTTTTTAAATAAGGCATAACATAGAGTTACTCTCTATTATAAAAAAGGGGGAAATTGAGGGCATAACAGGTTTACAATGTTTTAATTCCCTGTTATGCATAACTGCTCAAAGATAAAAGACCTCCTCAAGACCTCTTGCGTGAAGTTACAGAATGCAGTGGAACATAAAGGAAGAAACTGTCATCATAGAATGTGTGCAAATATACCATGTAAGGTCATCCTGTAGATCAGGGCTCCCCAACATGGTGCTCATGGGCACCACAATGGCTGTTGACACCTTTCCTGGCATCTGCCAAGTGTTTTTAAGTAGCAGGCTGGACTAGGTGAGACTCCTGCCCAGCAAAGCTTCTAATTGGCCACTGGAGATCTCATTGGTACAGTAAAAGGTTGTTTTGGTGGCAGCTGCCACCACAGTGTTGATTTTATTCTCTCTCTCACTCCTCTTTTCCCACTGTATTTTTAAAAAAAGCTTGCTCCTCTCATTCCCTGTATTTGGATTTCTGTGTTTGTTTGTGTGTGTGTATATGTGTCTACCTCCCACAGTGGCCATTTTGTGATTGCACCAACTTCTCTGTGTCAGAATTCCAAAGGTGCCTACAAGCTCAAAAAGATGTGGAACCTCTGCTGTAGACATCATCCAAAGTTATGCATAATGTAGAGCCAGGTTATCCTTGTATCATGTGGCCAGAGATCCAAATCCATTCTGGAGAAGTAGTGTGAAACTTAATGAAACCCACTGTAAGCAGAATAGTCCTGAGCTATTCAGTGAAGAATGGATGTGACAGAAGCAAACATTTTAAAATAGGACAGTTATTTGGTCACTGTGTATAATGTGATGTTTTATATCCTTAGCTAACAGTGAAAGTCATATCATAGATTACTTACTTCCAATTTATACTGGCATACACTGATTTATATCATGTTATATTCAAAGGATGACCCCCCCCCCATTTTTTAAACATTTTGTTCCCAGTATCTCAACACTGAGCAGACAAAAAACTCATTTAACACTGCAGTTCTCAATATGATTACTAGGAAGAAAGTCCCACTTATCCCATTAACACTGACTTCCAATAACTGCATAAAACGAACTAGTTCTGTATTATCCAAAACAATATAATCCTTGAAGAATTCCAACAAAAGTATTTTAGGATTCACTGGAAATTCATAACTTATGATGTATTTAATCACTTCTTCTAAATGGGTACAAATAACAGAGATCTCCAAACGATTACATGTCATAGAATAAGGATTGCATGCTTTTGTATTATAAAACTTGAAGTAACATTTAGAGAACTATGTTTGATGGTCACAGGACTTTTTTCTGCGGGAATGTGCCAGAACAGAGTCCTCTTCAACAAAATTCTTTTAAAAATGATTAAAGGTTCATGAGTTTTCAGTATACAGATTGAAAACTTCATTTCCCTCTTGAGAGTTCCGGCTCCTCTTTTTTTTACAAAAAGAAAAAGAAAAAAAAAAGCCCTGGTCATCATATCCATAAAGCAGAGGTCTAGGCCAATGTGGTTGGAACCTAGGGGAAGTGGTGGTTGATCACACTCTCCAGTCTATCCATCCCATGTCTTGACTACCTCATGTCTACATAATGATGTCCTGTTCTAATGGCCCTGGATTAACCATTAAACAAAATAAGCATGTGCTTAGGGCACCACAGAAGGTTTTGGGGTTTTTTTCTTACCGCTATTTAGTGTTATATAAATACTTCTTTAAAAGGTTATATTTAATATAGTTGTGGGGTCTGGCCTGGAAGAAAACTGAATTTTTAATCTCTTATTTCACCTTCATCACTTATTGAGTCTTAATATCTTGTCAGTTAAGCAATGGAAGGGCCAAGGGACACCACTGTTAGGCTGTGTTTAGGGCATCAGTTGGCATTAATAAATCAATAGGCCTTAATCCAGCCCTATATACTTGTAATCCAATGGATACAGGCCAGATCTATGTGATTGACTCTTCTGCCATAATGCAGAGCTACATTACATAAATGGTCATGATGTAGATTTGTTGCTGGGCACACTGCAGGATGAAGACAGTGCTGGAGGGAAGTCCCATTTTTAATATTGTCCCATGAAAAACACTCTCCACTGACATCTAGCGTGTCTGAAAGTGTTCTAGCCTACCATTCTCATAGATATAATAATTTCCTAAGTACAGGGAAATTATATGTAATATTATCAGATAATTTACATTTTTCATTGTAATATTGTAATACAAATTAAGAGAGAGAATATGCGTGGAGACTGCAGCTCCGCGGCGCAGCAATGGGCGGCTCGAGGCTTGCTCCGAGCTGCCCGATCCCTTCCCGCTCTCTTTGAAGCTTCCCGGCAGTTGGGAAAACTTCGCCAGAACTCCTGTAGAGAGTTTTGGAGCAGGGGGCTTTGTTCTGGCCCCTCCCGTAACTGGCAATTGCGGGGGGTGTCCATTACTGCCCTGAAGCAGGAGTGGCTTGTGGAGTGGAACATGGATGCCATGCTCCACACAGCTGCAGCCAATCGCCCTTTTTAATTATATTTGTAAAGAAGAATACTTCACACCTTTGGAGTTTTAATTTAAAATACAACAAGGAGAAGGAAAAGAAAAGAAGTACGGATATCAGCATTTGTAACTTGAAGAAAAGTAGCGATTTTTGGAAGAAAGGAAGAAAAAAAACCCTCCCCCAGACGCCTTTAATCTCAAAGCAGAGGAGAAGTGGCCAGGAATCGAACAGGAGGAATCACCGGGCAAGTGTTTCTTCTTCTCTATTGCTATATGAACAAATGTAACAGAAGAAAAATGGGTAGAAAAAAGGAGATGGCGTGTCGAGAGGATACTGAAGAGCAGGAGGAGCTGGAGGGAAACATAGAAATTGGAGAAATATCTGTTGAACAATTTCGGAGAATACTTATGGAGGCGATACAAAGGGGAATTGAAGAAGCTTGTCAGAGTGTGTTAGGAAGTAAGAAGGATGTGCACACAACTGAGGACAATGAGGAAAAGTTGGTGCAAAATAGCCAGGATGCAGGGCCGGCTCACCCACTAGGCGAACTAGCCATTCGCCTAGAGTGCTGGGTCCTGGATGGGGCGCCGAGCTGTGCCTCTCCACCCCACTGCCAAAAGCCCATAAGCACCTCTCCAAGTGTCAGCACGTCACTAATTGGGGAGAGGCATCGGGTGAGCATCCCCCGCCTGGAGACAGGAT